TAATTGCTATCTGCCAGCTTGGTCTGCAGAAATTTCTCTCAAGAAAGGCTGTCTGTGGGACTAGAAACAAGGAGTGACAAACTGCTGGCTCCAGAGAGCCAATATTCTGGGAAAGCATGGGCAATCTGCAAGTGCCTGCTTTATGAAATGCTTCAAAATATCTGCAGAAGATGACAAAGACTCCAAACCTACATACACCCCTCACTCAGCAAACTGCTAATAGAAATTTAATCCACGGCTGAGCAAGCAATCTTACATTGATTCTCGGAGGTTTTCCTGGCTTCTGGGTGACATGGGATGGAAAGGGTCACCGCCTGGAGCATTCACAACCCAGTAAATCTCTGCCTCATTCTTTGGAGAGCAGAGTTCCACCCCTCACGAGCCACAGCCAGGAAAAGAGCAAATCCACACCATACTAGGAAAGAGACTCAAGAGGCAGACGCCCTGCCTGAGTTTGAATAATCTTCCACAGAAGGAACACAGCCAATCTGGAAATATGTTTTAAAATAACCCGGGGGTGGGGGGAGCAAAGAGGAAAGTGAAGAAAGAGACAAGAAGATATGTAAACGCTTCCCAACGCAAGCGGAGCACAAGGGGCCCAAACCAGAGACCTTGAAGGCACTGCTTCCATATCCCCACCCTCCCTGCCCCAAGGCAATGAATGACCCTCACAGACCAAGCCGGTGCTGAGCCTTCCCCTACAGCTGGCATATAAAACTCTTAAGCAGATTTCATGTGATCAGGTAACTCCTCCAGCTATGCTTCCCTAGACCAAAAACCAAAGGAATTGTTCAGAAACGATGGGTGAGGAATAGGACTGAATATTGCATAGTCCATAACATGAGTATAAATCAGGTTAAGACAGGAAAAAAGATGAAGTTAAGAGACACAGAAACAGAATGGCTTGTATGCATCCACTGTGGCCCCAGCTTAGGAAATCTCATCCAGAAGTGGGTAACAACCAGCGGGAAACATGCAAAACCGAGAACCATTTCTGCATCAGGCTTGAGGTCATCATATCCCTGGGATAAGAGAATGAGGAAAGTTCTAAAAAACAAAAAACCTTTTGACATGGCACTTCGTATCCAAGGCAGAAAAACAGAATTGCAGGTGAAAAAAGGAGAAAACGTTGGCAGTAGCAGCCGATGCACACCGGGCACTGACTACCAGAACAGCCCACCTCCCCAAAGGCCGTCACCAGCTTCCAGAGGCGGGAGACACACCACATGTGAGTGCATATCACTCAGGAAGGACCGAGATGTTTTTGCAAATGAATCGCCAGTGGAAAGCCCAGTGATTCATTGTCCTTACTGGGGTCGGGGGTATCCTCCGGGAAGTAGGACACTCGGGGACTGTCTTGGTCTTCGGTGGGGTAAGGAGTCGAAAAGTGGGTTTGGAAGATGTAGCTCTCTGAAGTGCTTCTTTCACTGGAGGATCCACTGGTGAAGTCTTCCTCAGCGGTGGTATTGTTGTTGATGTCATCAGGGTTAGTTCTGTATTCGCCCTTCTGGGTGTAGCGGGTACCATCCCGGTTAACGATAGCTGGGAGACAGAGAAGGCACTTTTAGAATGTGTCACCTGACACTTTCTGAATATAGGAAAGACTGAATTTCAATCGCAGAAGATGGTGACTGTAGAGCTACTTTTCTTTTTTATTAGGAAAAGCAATACCTACACTACCTGTCTAGTGGGGGGGATGTGTGGCTGAAGCATTGAGAAGAGTGGACACTCCCCTGACCACTCACACACCAGGGAAATGGAGAGGGGAAAAGAGATTGTGTTTGGGAACCCCCCTGTTTGGATTCCAGTGTTGTGTGGCTCCAGACAAGGTAGGTGCCTCTCTGAGCTTCAGTTTTTCATTCCGTTATGAGCATGAGGTAATATTGTGTGTAAAGTGCTTCCACGGTATTCAAAGTATAGTTGGTGCTCAATAAGTAATAAATCTCCTGCCTGGTCCCTATTTCCCTTCTCAAGCACATGTTAACTTGGTGCTATTAGTTCCATCGATTTCCAGAGAGGATAAAAGAGGGAGGAGACACAGAGGCTATTAGCATCATCTGGGAATACATAGTTGCAAACCCAAGAAGAATTACATTTTCTTTCTAACAGTACAATTTTGTCAGTTTATCAGTGGTTGGCAAACTCATTAGTCAACAGAGCCAAATATCAACAGTAAAACGATTAAAATTTTTTTTTGAGAGCCAAAAGCAGACTTCTGCGCATGAATTTGCACAGGTCTGGACTTCAGAAGGCATCTGTGGGGACCAAGGAGGTGGGACATTGATTGAGCATCTCCTAGGGACCAGGCATGCATTAGACATATGCTTTTTCTTAATTCTCAGGGGGCAAAAACTACCTCTGTTGTTTCATTACCCAGAAGAGAAATGGAGGCTCAGAAAGAGTAAGTTGCTCCTCTCAGTTCGCCCAGGTGGTAAGATACTGGGATTCCACACCGGACATGGCTGAGACAGCACATCTCACACTCAGGCCTCCATTCCTATTGCAAGGCACAGGCCAGGGACACATCCCTCCAGAAGTGGGGGCTAAATTTGTATGGTCCAGGGAGATTCTTGCTCCCCTGCTACTGTCACCACTATTGCTAGGCACACTGAGAGGTCTGGCTGTTAGCAGGCACACATTAGACCTCCCCAACGTGTCATAGTTCTCAAGAAGTGAGGTTCAGAGGCAATAAGGTCAGAGTTAATAAGTCAACCTATTTGAAAGTTTTGTTTGGGACACTGTTTTCTACAGCGCCAGATGCCTACTTTTGGGGATCATTTCAGATAATGTTGAAATCAGGAATTTGAATTATCTTTCAACACTCCAGTTAAATCAAACACAAAATCATGGGGGCTAGAACGTCCCTATCCTCCTCTTCATAATCCCCCTTTGTAAGAGAGAATATAGCTTGGAGCCTTCAGCTGCTAGAATTTAAGAACATTATTTAATCTCCACTACATTTAAATTTACTTTTAAGGGTACCGTCTAATGATGTCCAGGGATGCTGGCTTTTCATTTGCATTGTTTGTTTTTTGTTTGTTTGTGTGCTTGTTTGCTTGTTTGTTTGCTTGTTTGTTTTAATAAATGCATTCTTCTAAGTAGAAAAGAATGGGTCAATTAAATAAATAAAAAGATCAATAATAGTGCTGTGTACATAGAAGTGCCCAAAAAAGTGAGAGTTTTTCAAATGACTGAAGCTTGAGAAACAGTGCATTGGGTAAACCAGGTAACAGTTTCAAGCCATTGAAGGAAAAGAGGAAAGAATATGGAATCATAGCCAGTGGGCCTAGCCTTAGGAAAATGACTGCTATTCTAGTCAAATATAAAGCACTGAAATACACTTGATCCCTTTCCCAAGAAGGTTAGAAGAGATACGTACTAATGGATATTGATCCTTCAAAGGCATTGGTCAGGCTTGTGATTGACTCACAATCTTCTTTCTCTGGTGCTATAAGGTAGAAAAGAAAAAAGGCATGAGAATGCTAAAAAAAATATGAGCAAATCAATTCCCATTTCTTTCAGTTAATTAGGATGGAATTTTATTATAACTTACTGCAAATATTTTCCTTTTCTGAAATTTGGTTAAGTCTCCTGGGAACTTCTCTGGCCTCTGTGATGCATTTTTCATTTTTATTTAGCGTTACATGTTTTTTGGAAGCTCACTCATTATTCTTCCCATCCCAACAAATTCATTCATTAACAAATACATATGTTCTATATCAGGCTTTGTGGGAGGCTGGGGATACAGCAATGCACAAGATAGGCATGGTCTTTCCCTAATGAGCACACATTAGAATGGCTTGTTGGCAAAGAGCAAGGAAGAAAGGGATGGATGGATGGATGGATGGATGGATGGATGAATGGATGGATGCATGGATGGAGGCAGGCAGGCAAATTGCTATCACAAGAAAGGCTATTATCACAAATATTTTAAGTGTCCTGCCATAAACCACCTGGTATCATAACATTAGACAAAAAAATAAAAAAACAGGGTTTGGCTGCTTCCCGGTTCCTAGGAGATCTTTTCCCATAGATAAGGTGAAGGATGGCCTTCACCTGCCTATTTCTTTGGCCTCAAAGTGAAACTAAGTGGCAGCTTTATGTATTCAACTAGAGAAAACCAAATTTTAGGAAAAGCTCTTCTTGCAAAGGCTGATGCAAAGATTTCTCAGAAGAGAGACTCTTCAAAAAGAAAGTTGCCTCCTGGGGAAGGCCATTCCTCACCATCCAATGTAAGCTGGCCCCTCAACACTCCCCCATGCCCGTCACCATCACACATTGTCTGCCCTCATTTCTTCCTCAGGCTTACCACTACCTATAACTATCATGTTCTCTTTCCTCAATGACTGCTCATGGCACATCTCCCAACCCCTACCAACTGCCAACACCCACCTCCATAGAAATAGTTAAGCTCCGCAAGATGAGTGGGAACCTTATCTGTCTTGGCCAGGATATTTATGTGTGATGGGGGAAAGGGGACGTTCAAATATTTGTTGAGAAAGAAAAAAAAAAAAAAAGTCCATTCTTCTAGTAAACATGCCTAATATGTAACCCCCCCACACACACAAATAGTCCAAAAATATAAACAGATCAAAAAATATTTAGATAAACACTGAAGGGCAATGCCATGAGAAAGAATTAAAGGCAGCTAACTCCAGATACATCAGTCCATGTATTCATTATTTTAGGCATTTACTCAATACATAATAATTTAAAAAAAATTTTTTTTCTTGTTCCTGCTTTTGAGGAATTCACAAGATCATGAGGGACAATAATAAACATTTGTCAGATTTTTATATCTCCAAAATATTTTTCCAATAAATCCCTCATTTAAGAATCAGGGCAAATAGTCGATCTACATCAGTGGTCGGCAAACTGCGGCTGGCAAGCCACATGAGGCTCTTTGGACCCTTGACTTCTTAGCAAAGGCCAGCTTAGGAGTACCCTAATTAAGTTAATAACAATGTACCTACTACTTATATAGTTTAAGTTTAAAAAATTTGGCTCTCAAAAGAAATTTCAGTCGTTGCACTGTTGATATTTGGCTCAGTTGACTAATGAGTTTGCCAACCACTGATCTAGGTGATGTTGGAGAGCAGCTACCCAGTCTGTCAGGGGGACACCACAAGACTGACCTGTGACATGCTTCTGACATTATTACACTATACAGACACATTGGATTATGACTTCTTAATGGCAAGAATGGAAATGCACTCCCCATCCCCCCAATTCAAACATAACTGCAGGTGACACTGGGAATTTCTAGGCATTACATTGTAATAGAAGGATACATGATGTCAAAAACTCTAAGAGTGTTTTGTAAATTATTAGAGCATTTGTCCAAATGGACCCTCTCATGCTCCAATTCACCTTCACTCTTATAAAGAACATCAAATCTGGCAGGATGGTGACCCAAATGTGCAATCAGTCTGTTCATGCTCCCGTGTCACACAGCAGAGCCTCATTAGAAGGCCTTTCATTCTGTTTAATGAGCATTGCGTTGCTGGGAGAATCAGGGCTGGTGCGGTCTTCCCGAACCTAAAGCTTTGTTAGGAAGACTCTGAGGTGAGCTTTCTGGTGGGCTGCATCTCAAAACCTGGCCTCCACTGCACCAAAAAGAACCCCAAGGAAATGTTAACTATTCAGTCTAGCCCAGTGGTCGGCAAACTCATTTGTCAACAGAGCCAAATATCAACAGTATAATGACTGAAATTTCTTTTGAGAGCCAAAACCCAACTTCTACGCATGGGCCACGAAGTTTCAATCGCACTGTATGTGCGTGGTTATTTTGTGGAAGAGCCACACTCAAGGGGCCAAAGAGCCGCATGTGGCTCTTGACCCACAGTTTGCCAATCACTGGTCTAGCCCATCACTCGGCCCCAGACTGAAAACTACCTTCCTCAATGCCTGATACATTATAGGGAGTCAATAAATACTTATTCAATAAAAGAGTAAAGGAATAAACAAGTAAATATAGAATCTTCCCTAAATTTCTCCTGCAAAAGCGAGGCTTTTTACTCAAAGCCAATTTTATTTTTTTTAATATATTTTATTGATTTTTTTACAGAGAGGAAGAGAGAGGGATAGTTAGAAACATCGATGAGAGAGAATCATCCATCAGCTGCCTCTTGCACACCCCCTACTGGGGATGTGCGCACAACCAAGGTACATGCCCTTGACCGGAACCCAACCTGGGACCTTTCAGTCCCCAGGCCGATGCTCTATCCACTGAGCCAAACCGGTTTCGGCTCAAAGCCAATTTTAAAAATGAACTCGTTCAAATGAGTTCTCTATGTTGTTTATACAGAAGCCACCAGGCTCATGCTGGGCCTTATCGCTGACAGATGAGGCAATAAAAATCGCCAAGCCTTTGCAGGGTCTGCCTTGTTTTCATTTGTAAACCACAGGATGTGTTTTACAAAAACACTGCTGAAGTTGTAAGCATGCAGAAACTATCTGCTAAGACTGAGCTGGCTTCCAGTTTGCCTGCCGGGGGAGGGGCGTTGATCGCATCACTGGGTCCTGCTGGTAGTTCTCAGGCTGAGTTGGATGCAAGGATCTTTCCAGGGAGATCCGTCATGTTGTGCAGAGGTTATCAAGATCTGTAGCTTACTTAATACTCCCATCAGCTGACTAAGACAGTTTAATGAAAGGAGTTTATCTCTAGATAAACATTCTTCTCAAGCGCCTTCACTTTTTGTCTTGTTGCTACAAGATTAATTCTCAAGATAAGAAATAGGGTCCTGGCTCTTTCTTATTCCACTCTGCCCAGCACAGTACTGAGTGCATATAGTCAATCAACCAACAGACTTCAAAACTTCAAGGAAAAATTATAAAAGTAGCCTAACCATATCGAGTAAAATTGGAAAAGAGAAAAAGATACATGTCACTCTGAATTTCACTACTTTAATACAGCCACTTTGGTATGCAATACACTCCCAGGACTTTTCAACATTTCAACTAACGTATCCCCATCCTCTGCCCCCTCCAAAGAGGAGGGAAGTGAACAGTTAGTTCTCTTTACTCACTTCTCTGAGGACAGGCCCGATCTTGGGCAAAAATAAGAACAGGGAGAAAAGTCTCAGTAGTAACTTGCCTTGAATACTTCATTTTCAGGCAATAAAACATTGTGAGCTTCTACCTTTTTGAATTAGGGATCTTTTCTGCAAGTGACAGCAACCTGTAAATCAGGTGAGACAATGTGGATATGCAACAGCATAATTTCTTGCAGACATTCACTCAACACAGCTCGGCGGGACACAGAGCAGGCAGAACCCACAGACACCCTAGAGTGCAGCGGTCGCCAACCTTTCAGACCTCAAGGACCGCTAGCTTGACCACATGTGGCTCTGTGTCTATTTCCTAATTATTTGCACGGGTTTTTCTTATTCTCATGCCATTAGAATGGACATTCTGGGTATGGGTTTGGAAGCTGGGTATGGGCCATGTACTGTGTAGCCTCAGTTGGACTGGCCTCCTTGTGGTCAAAGGCCATTTGTGTTCTTTGTTCATATGTTCATTAAATAGTCTATAGTTTTCTCCTTATTTTGAGTGTTCTTCCATAGATTTTAGTGCCCTGTATATATTTTCGGTCACTCCATTTCAACTAACCAGCCCTGGAAATTTCTCTTCGTCCTAAACTCTAGACTTCCCCTCTGAATTCTCACTCTGATCGCTGCTGCTCGTGCAACAGTAGGTGGCATGGCGTAACCTAAAGCTACTGATGTCATCTCACAATTTCTTTGATGTCCATACTTTAGCTTAAAAAGCCATGCAGATTTTATATTCTACTACCATATATACAATCTGTGTCCGTCTCATAAAAATAACGCCTTAGGTCACCATATAACAATATGTGTGTTTGCCTCATACGGAACATGTCTTCAGTCACTTTCCAGCTCATTGAAAGACAGGAAGTCTGCCCAGCAGAAGTGTCAAGTTTACCACCTGGTGCCTTTATCATCCCCTCCACACAACCTCAAACCTTTTTGGGGAGCAAGATATCTGATTGTTGGCATTCACAACATTGACATCTCAGGGTCTGACCCTCCTCCAAAGACCCAGAAGAGTCACGAAGCAAAGAATTCTTTAGTTTTGCTGGGGCCTGAATTCAACTCGCAAACCTGTGTTTTTAGGCCAGTAGTTGGAAGCAAGCCCCTTAGACAGGGAGGGGCCTGGCCAGCAGCCCAGCATGCAAATCTTAAGGTAGTTTCCTTATGCTCTCGTTGTCTAGTTGGGTAGGCAGGGACACTCGATAAGGTCAAAGGCGTACGGTTTGTCCTCCCAACCTTCTCTCCACCCCTAACATCTGATCAATACGTCTGAGCTAAGCCAGTTGCTTTGTGCTCCAGTGCCGTCCTTGGATTCATGTAGCCCCACCATCCCAAACCCTGCAGTGACTTCCCATCGCACCGCAGCCGTGGCCTACAAGGCCAGAGGTGATCTGGCGCCTGCTTCCCTCTCTGACTTCATTGCTTGGCATTCTCTCCTCTGATCGCCTGGCCTCCCTGCTCTTCCCGGAGCAGGCCCTGATGCTCCCGCACGCTGCCAGTCTCTGCAGCGGCTACCCACTCTGCTCGTGGCTCTCCCCTGCGTTTCACGCAGCGTTTCTCCTAGATGAGCCTCCTCAGAGGCTCTTCCCCTGACCGCCTTCTCAGAAGAAAGCTCCCCTGGCACTCTGAGCTTCTTGCTCTGCCTTCCTTTTTACAGCTCTCAGCTCTTCTCTCTCTCTGGCTTCACATAAGGTGTTTCATATTTACTGGCTTACTGTTGGCCTCCCCAGCTTAGCAGGCAAGCACCCTGTAAGACAGGAATTTTCTTTCTGCTGTAGATGTTCCCTGAACATCTGGAAGCTCCGTGAATGCCCACATGAGCCCAGATTGAACCGCTCTTGGCCACACTGCCACGGGCTTGCCTGCCAAATGCGACCCCACACACGAAGTCAATCGCTTGGAACCCACCTGAAGCATTGTAGCAGTACGTGTCGTACTGGGAGGTGTTGGAGGTGAGGATGTACACCCCCGTGTTGTTTGCAGCACAGATGGCGTTGGGTTGGATGCGGGGGATCACCACGTGCCCTTCTATGAACCCGTACCTGCAAGAGCAACAGCAGCGGTTATCCACCTACGAGGCCATGATGGTATTTCACCCCATCCCATCCAATGACATATCACGCAGAGCAACGCTTCATTCAACTCATCCCAAATGGACGTTCAAGGTTTCAGCCAGGGAGTTATGTGAAATCCAAAAATAACAGCAGAGGGAGAGGATCAAGGTTGATAGAGACAAAGTGATTTCATTTAGAGCTCTATAAAAGCTTTTTTGTTTTTTTTAAGAGATTCATGAAGAAAATAGTTTCTAATAAAAGTTGTGGTCAGATCAGTTTGGACAAGCAGAAGGAAGTCCAAGACACAGGAGATAAAAAAATGACCACTCATGATGTGAGATCCACTATGGCTCCCTCCATGACTTTCATACCATTTCAGGAAATGCATACAATGACCAGCTCTCTCACTACAGAATTAGGTGGCTGATCATGTCAGCCCGCAAATGTCAAATCTGCCTTATTTCCCATCCCCACTCTTCTCTCCCTGCCTCGCCTTTTCCTGTGATCCCTGCCTCGCCTTTTCCTGTGATCCCTTCCTCCAAACGCCGTTACTCTAAACATGAAGGCTCGTTCACATGCCAGATACATGAGCATTCTGCCTCAGGAACATCCCAGGCAGAATTTCATCGCCAGAGGAAGTAAATTGACCGTCATTAAAACTGGAGTAACAGCGATTGAGCCGGTAGATATCAATGCCTCATTTAGCTCAGGAATTTCCTGAGAAGCATCGCAGCCAGAGAAGCACTTAAACGGCTCTGCCCCCACCCACGTATTTCTGGGAGCATGTGGGAGCTGGAGACTCCCTCAGATAAAACTCACAGCACCCAGACTCCTTCATCACCATCACGGTGTCTACTCACTGCACAGTTTCTCCGGAATATACTAATAAATGCCTCAAACAAAACATGGGATGGGGGCTGAGAAAATATCATTTGCAAGGGACGAGGTGGTAGCAGGGGAAAGGCAGGAAAGGAGAAGCTAATTTTTTTAATTTTTTTTTTTTAATGCAAAGCTAAGGCACAACCTTGATCCTTTTAATCTCTCCTGCCAGCGGCAACAATAGTGCATGACCCTGCAAGATCCGTGGAAACGGCTGTGCGTTTGAAATTTCCAAGCACATAGAACTCATTAAGATTGTGTTGCAACTGCAGCTTGCATGACTAATTGCTCATCTAAACCAACGGACTGGTTTCTCCGAAGACTCCTTAGCTTGGTGGTGGGAGGGGTCGCAATTAAAGGTTAGTAAGTTCCCATATATCTGAGAATTGCTGCTAATCAGGGTGGGGCAGACAGCGAAGGTTTTCTCACAGCCTGGGACGCTGCCATTGGTGCCGTGGCACATAGCTGATTCATGGCTACCTGAGTGAAATTATGGAAATGAGTTTTGCAATGCTTCATGTCAGCTATGGGTGGAACAATAGGTTTCCTTGGCATAGCGTTTCTCCTTTTCTTTTTTTAATGATAATACTCGGTGAGCCTACTCCCATCCCACCCTTACTGCATGCACCAAGTCTGTTTTACACTGACCATCTAGAATCTACATTCCCTTGTTGAGTTATGCCTGAGTTTTTGCCACGCCGTGTCGATGGCCGGTTTTGAGTGTCCCGCTGTACGCAGGGAAAAAAGAAATACTCAGCAAATCCATGCATCATTCTTGTATCTCCTTTTTGCTCTCGGTCCTTCCTTGGGGTTTGGTCATTAAAATCTTGTCCAGAAGCAGGACCTGACTCTGGACTCCTCCCCACGCCAGTGATGCGGCCCAGGCCAAGCTGGGGAACTTCTCTGAGATTTGATGCTTAATCCATAAGGAGGGTAATCTAACCCTACTGTGGTGCCCTTTGAGAGTTAAGTGAGGGGTGGGTAAGTGCCCAGCATCTGTGCACATGCTGATTGGGAAGTTCCAACAGTAACAACTTCCCTCTTTTTCGGCCTAATGAGAACATTTCTGTATTTTGTAAGTAGGCATGGTCTGCATTTCACAATCAAAATTCAGCTCACTAAAGCCCTGCTCTCAGTGCATTTCTCTTGCTGTCCTAGTCCCAGCTGTGGTGAAACAATTAGTCTTGGGAGAAGAATCAATGGAGTCTTCACTGCAGACCGCAGCACAGGGTGAGCAGCTATCGGAGCTACCTCCCTTTCTCTGCTCCTTGCATGTTCTCTCCAACATTATCTGAATGCATGCGGATGTCTCCTACAGCTGCTCTCTGCGTAAGAGCAGTGCTGTGCAATACCACTGTCTGTGATCATGGGCACAGTCTGTCATCAGTACAGGAGCCACTAGCCATCTGCAGCTACTGTGCCACTGAAGAATCCAGGTTTTCACTTCATTTTAACTAAGTGTAGATCGCCGCAGGTGGCTATGGTTATTGTTTAAGACATATTGTTTAAGACATAAGGATTTTCCTTTCCAGCAAGAGCCTCTGCTCCTGCTCATAAAGTGGGTATCTTCCTCTCTAACCAAGGATGGAGATTGATGTATTGAATGTTCTTAGTGGCATCCCATTGCAAAAGCACAGAAGGGGTAGCCGGTGGACTGGGATGGAAACCGAGCAGTTGTTCAGATGACTTAGAGCGTTTCTAGGGAAAACCAGCCAAAGCATACACTTCCCTGTGGCCTTCCACCACAGCTTGTTCTTAAGGCACCACTGGCTGGAGGGTTTGAAGAGAGCTCCACAGAGCACGTGGTCACACAGAAGCCTCTTAGGAGGCCTTTCTGAGTCCCTCCGTTCTTTCCCAGTGACTAGTAATTTGTCTTAATAATTTCCATGCCCTCTTTTTCTATAACCCTCTCAAACTAAAGCAACCTAGAAGAGAATAAAGAAACAGAAAGAGAGAGGATTGTTTGGAAAATCTGCTTTAAGCCAAGTCTGCAGGGCTTAGACTCCGCCAGGCACATGTTTATTTTAATCACTGTTATTTGGTTTATGTTTTCTTGTGGTTCCGACAATAATATTGCATGTTTCTTCAAAGCCAGGGGAGCGCCATGTGGAAGCACTGCAGGCATTAGGAGTCCAGCTGTTGACCCTTCATGGCCTCCTCTAGGCAGCCCCGCTATCATTTACAAAGGTGTCATAAGAGGGCTTCAAATGTCTGCTGTCAGGCAAGTTCTAAGTTAACTTGGCCAAATGAATAGGTGAGGCCTTCAGGCAATCATCCAACCAGATACCAGGGAGGAACCTTCCCAGTGTAAGCCCCACCCCCTAGGCCAAGGCAGCCAGTGGCTCTCACCTGCAGGTCTCAAACCCCACGCTCAGGGCTTTCTCCATCTGGGCCATGGTGGGCAGGGTGGAATTGAAAGCCTGGCAAAGGTCAGCTGCCTCAGTCCGTGAGATGCTGTAGCGACCGTTTTTCTCCACATGGAATACGCCTGCATACCGGCAGGTTACGTTCAAATCTGTTGGATGAAACAAGCAAGGTTAATATTTGTTTGCATGCATAATCAGGGAGGGCTAAGAAGGTTGTTTTTGAGCAGCCTCATTCAAAAGCCAAATAAACTTCTCTTCTGCTCCAACATTCCAAAGCACCATCACAGTAAGCTCAGATCTGAGCTGACAAACAGACAAGTCATATCACTCTGTGACTTTCTCTCCATCGATTGCTGCACAACAAACTCTTTTAAAAGCGTATGATTGGGAGCGTAGCTAAACCACGTTGGTGTTGCTTGAAATCGAGTTTTGCTCAAACGAACTCTTAAAATGTTGAATAAGCCTCAGTTTGTCTCTTAGCACTGTGACATTGCAAAATGGCACAGCCACTTTAAAAGGCCATTTGATGGTTTCTTACAAAACAAGCATTTTCTTACTATTTGACTCAGGGATCACACTCCTTGGTAGTTACCCAAAGAAATGGAGAACTTATGTCAACACAAAAACCTACACACAGCTGTTCATTCATGATGACCAAACTCCGCAATCAACCAAGATATACCTCAATAGGCGAGTGAATAAGTAAAAAGAAAAAGCATATGACTTCTGTCTGATTATTAAAGCAATACAAACTTGTTGAAAACTTACAAAATTCTGGAAAGTAATAAAGGAAAAGCCGGTCCACCACTAAGAAGGCATTGCTAATGTTTTAAACATTTTGTTGCATCTTCTTTCAATTGTCTTCTGAATATGTTTATGTGTTTTTAGTTAAAATAATACTAAATATACAATTTATATAATATTTGGGAGTCTTTTCCCCCCACTTAATCTTTCATTACAAGCATTTTCTCACAATCACGTGATCTCGCTCCCTTGCTTAGAATCCCCACTGACTTCCAGCTGCACCCAGATTAAATTTCCTTATCACGCTGATAAGATAAAATCTATATGTTCTCAAGCCTATATTTCTCTCTAAACTTTAGGTAGCTCCCTCTGCTCTGGATACAGAGCTTCCCTTCAGTTCCTTTGGGCATTCTGGGCTCTTTCCCACTTTCCAACAAGTATATCTGCCTTTCCCTCTGTCTGGAATGTTCTGTCCTCGGATTATCCCATTCTTGTTGGTCAACTCCACAACACCTCCCAGCGTCCTTCCCTGAACACTCTAATCCAACTCGTGGTGCCTCCCTTGCCTCACCTGGCTTGTGTTTATTTATTTGTGTGTTTATTACCCATCTGCCCTTTCTGTGATGGAAGCTCAAAAAATAAAAAAAGGAAAGGCCTTCCACGGGTTTATAGTGTTGTTCTAATGCCCACAACAGCACTTGACAGAGAGGGGAATATTGTTGAATGAATGAACGACTCATTGAAATGTCTTCAAAAGCACCCTTCTGACATCTTGACAGCTAGGTCCAAGGCCTGGTGTTTGCTCCCAAGAGGTAACGACATTCCATAGGAAACCTAACTGCTATCCACTGGTGAAAGTGATTTGAGCCAAGGACTTCGGAAGTTTTGCAGATATTAATCTGAAATCTCAATAGGGAGTTGAACAATCCTCTGGTTCCATAGGATCCTCTGTAACAATCTCAAAAGATTTTAAAGGCCTTCACTGAAAACTCATTCTTTTTCTAGGACTGTTATCCCGGTTTGCACTTGAGTAAGCTCCAACACAGAAAGGTTGTTGACACTGTCGTGGGGAAGCCTACCGTATTTTTCGGACCATAAGACGCACCGGACCATAAGACGCACCAGTTTTTAGAGAAGGGAAATGAAGAAAAAAAGATTCTGAAACAAATAGTGTCCTAAAATATTTTATGTGCATTAAAACCCAACATCACAGTCATAAACACATGTAATCAACCCTGTAAAGTAAACAGCAGCATTTAGAACCATTTTAGAGCCGGGCAAGCACACAGAGACCACACAGAGCTGGGCAAGTAAAAAAACTTTTTTTTTAAAGTATATGTGTAGGCTATATTTGGACCATAAGACGCAGAGACATTTTCCCCCCACTTCTGGGGGGAAAAAGTGCGTCTTATGGCCCGAAAAATACGGTAATTCCTCCTGAGCATTTCCTTCAGCCTCCAAGACAGGACTCTTGGACTCTGGCCGACAGCTCCTTGGGGACCTTCCCCATGGTGGAGCTGGTGCCAGGCCAGGCATCACTGTGTTAGTTCTGAGCCAGGTCTGGATTCCAACAGATCTGGCCTTAACTCAAACTCAATCTCTCTCTCTCTCTCTCATGTGTGCTGGTCTGCAGATCATCAGGAAGATTCTGCATATTAATCAGCAAGTACATTGAGACTCAGAGAACTGAGTTGCCCAAGGAAGTGAGGATTTCTGTCTGAAGCCTGTAGTCACTTTCCAGAATCTCAGGTGCTTCGTTCTATATTCTGAGCCAATAACTGGAATAGGGGAAGCCTACTACTGCACTGTCCCTGGGTACCCGGAACCTCTGGGGTTCTGGGTTGCATCAGCTTCCGAGGATCCTGGGGGGAGGGGGGGGAGTTTAATGTAAATCTGTACATAGTACTAATAGGTGGAGAAACTAAAGCTCAGAAAAAAGGAAACTACTTTCCCAGCTAGTAAGTAGCAGAGCTGGAATTTCATCTTAGGTCTGTGTAGATATCAAACCCATGTTCCAAACCATCTCGCCACTTGCCCTAGGGTCCCGTGTTATTAGAACAATATTTCGCTCTGAAGGAGAGAGGAACGCCTACGCTCCTGGGACAGAAGAGTAGAGAGAGGGTCCGTAATATTGAGCTGTACAGTCAACAAGGGCTCTCTCCTTTCTGAGCAGAAGCAGGTTCCCACCACTACAAAGCTGGCAGACCAATGCAAAGTATGGTGATAAGTGAACTCCTGTATTCCCTTTCTTGATTTGGAAAAGAGTGAAAGAAGAAACAAGCAATGAAGCTTTCAAAAGACGTACTAGTAAGCCCATCTCAACTGGTTTTCCTTGCTTTTGTTTGCATCATTAACATGTAGATGCTTAAAAAAAAAAAAAACTTCAGAAGTAGGAGAAATGGAGGACATGTGTTCTTGTGTGAGATTCGTTCCTTTTTGGGTATAATGATGTCCCTCTTAGCCAGGCACACAGCACGTGGCTGATGAAGCAAAAGAAGCATCGCACAAGGCCCTTTTGAAATAGTGTTTGTCTTTACTGACATTTTCAGCGTTGGCCTCTGTTGGCCAATCTCAGCAAAGGACAACTATCATCTGGGTGGCAGCCCTTCCGGGGGCTCTCCTTGTCTAGCCCACCAAAGAAAAACAAAGCATCCCCATTCGCTTCTTGGAGGCGAGGCTGGTAGGGGAGACTTCAGTAGAGGGCAGGAGAGGCCCACTGCGTGGCAGGGCTCAGCCAGGCGGCGGCTGTCACTCCCAGGTGAAAACGAAAGGCTGAGGCGTGGCGGTGGTTTGGCGCTCCGTGGCAGTTTCTGTCTTATTAAAATAGATTCTGGTTTGTGACCTGGCACACGGACATGCGAATGCAACAGGAACCAATTCAGGTTGAGACTTTTGAATAAAGCCCTTCGTGCCAAAGCCAGCGTAACCTGAGACACCCACATACATTGTGTGAGTGTGTCTATAGGTGTGTATGCAAGTAGTGGTGTATGGTTGTGTGTATTCTGCTCAGCCAAGACAGGAAGAAACAGATAAACTTAATCTTCAGCCCGGGGTTTAAACAAGGCCTGACATACAGTAGGCATCAGCCAACAGCTGCCAAATGGAATGACGAGATTCTATGCAAATGTGGAAATTCCACAGCATACACTTATCTTAATTTCATGAAGTCCAACTCTTAATCCTGATGGCATTCGGCCATCTGGAATTGCAAAGATGGCGCCAAAACTTCATTTCAGGTCAACTAGCCCATGAGTGTTCACAATTCTTTCCCTCTGGGTCCTTTGTACCTTAAAAGGGACCAAACCTTCAGGACTGTGTGTCCTTCCAGTCCTGATAACTTATGACGACTTCCCATTGGGCTTCCTTAACTCTTATGCAAACCAAAATTATTACCCCAAAGGGCATTATTAATAATACCAACTGCAATAACAGTAGCTCAGTGGTCGGCAAACTCATTAGTCAACAGAGCCAAATATCAACAGATTAAAATTTCTTTTGAGAGCCAAACTTTTTAAACTTAAACTATATAGGTAGGTACATCGTTATTAACTTAATTAGGTTACTCCTAAGCTGGCCTTTGCTAAAAACTCAAGGGGCCAAAGAACCGCATGTGGCTTGTCAGCTGCAGTTTGCAGACCACCGCAGAAGCTAATACATCTTGTGCATTTATTATGCATATGTTGGGCACTCTCCTAAGCACTTTACAAGGACTGACTCGTTTTACCCTTAATACAACCCTAGGAAGTAGGTACCATTATTATCCCCATTTTCCAGATATGGAGACTGAGGCACGGAGAGGGGGAAAACATGCCCAGGTTCCCAGCGCTGGCAATGATGGAGCTAGGATTCAAATCTAGCCAGTCTGGCACCAGGAATTCACAAGCTTATCCACTACTTAACGGTACACTTAAGTAACTTTCTGCAGCCTCTCAGTGCCCCTAGTGTAAGGCTGCTAATATTCCCAAGGTCTAAGTAAAGTTAGAGCAAGGCTGAGGCATGAGTAGCCATGGACTACAGATCACTGGTGAGCCCCAGGGTCTGTGGCAATAGTCCTGGCCACGCTGCAAACCCTGCAGACACGCAGGACTCCTGAGATGTCTGTATGCCTCTCCTGAGAAACAGAGGCCCCCGTGATTAGGGATCTGCTGTGACTCAAGAGGCTAATAACAACTGGCTGATGTGTCTTTCCAACAAGCCTTTCCAACTGGAAATAAATCAAGAACGTTTTCCGTTGAGCCCTCTGGTCTCCAATAAATCTCCTGTGTCACGTAATAAATGAACAGTCCCAAGTTCCTCCCCCTGAGGCACCCAAAGGGCAACATCAATGGGTTGAGGCCACTTTTAAATTCAGGGAGGAGCCTCTCTGGAGGGAAAAATGCCACTCGGGCCATTAGGGTGGCCAAGA